ACGTTCATGGCGCTCCATAGCATGAACATATCGCGTTCATAGTCTGGGTGCTATGGTGGTTAAGCGTCCAAAATTTGGTGCATAATTGTTTCCAGTGGATTGTGGCTCTACAAGTGATCCAGATTGATATTCCACCGGGTAATATTATTTTACCCTTGGGGAATTTGAGAAATCCAAGATGGCCGCCAAAATGGCCTCCAAATTTGAATTTCCTATAATATTTTACATAGAACAATATTTTTTATCTATACTATAGTTTAAAAAGTCAAAATACATTGCCACCACCAAATGTCAATTTTAGCCTCTGTGAACATCCAAAATGGCAGCCAATATGGCTGCCAAATCTGAATTTAGCTATCACTAAAACACAAAGCACATTATCTAAGGATTATACAACAACTAACATTTACCACATCAAACGAAAATCTGGAAAAGTCGCCATATTTCTCATAATAGTTTACATACAACGACAGTTATTGTTTTCTACTACGGTTTGAAAGGTCAATCGAAATAGTGGCAGCATAAATATTAAAATCTGCATATTTCTATTTTCTCTAATGAAACATTTTACCACAATATGACCATAAATGCTACAACTGACCTTGGATCCCCATATTCATATAATTTAATATCTTCATGGAAGCTTGATTTAGGCATATTTTCTTTACACATACTGTACATGTTTATTTTATTTATATTTTAAAAATGAATGAAATTTCAATAATCACTATCCCTCTCCTTTTAAAATACCTTGCTCACATACAAATTGGCATGTTGCAAAACTGGCGACAATGTAGAGTATGATGTATCTCCCATTGGCAAGTAAGAGTGAACGGCGGTTAATAACCCAAGAGGCCTGAGAGCCAGAGGAGGAAAAGAGTTGTGGGCTTGGACAAGGTGAGAATCAGTGGAGGAGAAGATTGTTGCTTGGAGTGTGCTGTGGGAAGAGTCACCATATCTAGTGACTATAGTGGTGCAGGAAACTTCCTGCACCACTAATGGTGGTCCCTCTACCCGGAAAATCGATATCAGTTACTTTTGTCTGCCCACCAAATGGGTGGAGCAGCACACCAGGGTAATTTTAGTATTTTGATACCTTAGCAGCGAATGAATAAATAGGCCTTTTGTATGTGATGAGAACTCTTGCACTATAAACTTACACAAAGTTTAACCGTCGAAATCTCATGCAAGGTTTTAAGCAATGTAAAAATTTCGAAGTCCTTTCTTGGCAGGAGGTGTTCCTGTTTCCGAGGAAGCACCGTCTCCGAGCGTGGCTGGTGATGATGTGGTTGGCCCAACTTTCTTAACACTCTGTTTTTTGTTTGTCTGTTTCCTTTAACATAAGGAAAAGAAGATGTTTTAAGTTAATTGCCTTCGTTTAAAAAAAGAGCGAAATCATCATATTTAACAAATAAAACTTACTGCAAATTGTTGTTCCCACCGGACAATCGCATCTTCGTCTTCACCCATGGATTTCAGAACATCCACTATCTCCCTCTTCAGTTCTTCGTAGTCTTGGCTTTGTCTGCCGGGTCCTAGTTTGTGCTCCATATTGTAAGCATCCTCGAGGAATTTCAAAGCTTTTTCAAAGTTTTTATGAGCATCAGCTGAAATAAAAACAATTTAAATAATATAATAATTTTAAAAAATGGTAAAAATAGTTATAGTAATTATAGCAATAATAACGATAAGGATAATAAAAATAATAATATGAAATAAAAATGAAATAGAAAATATATATACTAACAGTAGGCCTATTGATAATATTAATAACGTAGATAATACTGAAATTGGTGATGATGATGATGATAATGATAATGAAAATGATAACTTTCCAAAACCCAGGGAAGCAATTATGCATTGGACACCCTCCAAGTAATGACCATCACCATCCCCACTTTACCGCCACACTAACAGACCTCTCTAATTCAAGACCACTTTTTTAAAGAACCCAATAACAATCTTTGACCGAACCCCGGGGCCATCAATATTTTCAGATCCAAAAGGTGGTCTCGAATTGGAAGGCGAATTGTATTTAATTGATCAACACTAATTGAACAAAAAATTTCAAGATAATTTATCTTGGGGCCGTAAAGGCCATACAATAATGTGTGTCCCAAGACCACGAAAGGGCTGTAAACTCGCATCATCAGGTTTTCGGAGAAAAGGGGCTAAATAGACAGTATAACATGTAATCTGAGCAAAATGTGATTATGTCATAAATATATAATATTACTTTTAAACTTACTAATTTTGAAGTTGGGGTTCAATATTTCAAAGGTAAACCCTAAAATGTTGTAATTTTATGAAGAAACGTATATAAATTCATCAACTTTTAAGCCGCCATACTTCGCTTCTAAACAACTCATTCACTACACAAAATTCAGGTCCAAAGATAGATAAATGAAAACTATTAGATATAATAATACGTGTATTAGTACTCGTATTCTATGTGAGATTTCAGAATAAACAAACAGTATAGTTATAAAATAGTAGAATGGTCACAGAGCCAGGTTAGACCTATTGAGAATATTTCGGTCATTTGTAGTGAAGTAAATCTAAAACGTATTCATGTTGACATTAAAAATCGTGTACAAAATAGTTGAACAAACTTTAAAGTATGTTCCGAAAATATTGTAGTGCATCATAGGCCTACTGTGGTACGAAGCTTATGTAAATGTATACCTAAATGAAGAAAATAGCCTTGAATTAATTCAAATAATACTAAACTGTTTCATGACTTGTTGGAAAAGATTTGGAAACAATCATCTTGCCGTCTGGCAGTGAAGCGGATCAGAAATGACGTACATTGCGGTAGAGTACATGTTAAGAAACTAGTGGTGGTTATTGACGCCAACCATAGAGAAAATAGATTTTCTCTATGCGCCAACAGAACAATCATCTGCACTATTTTCTGCGATGTGACATTAAAAGGTATTTACGAAGTATATTCACACAACATCATTCAAATCAATAGTCAAATAACATTAAAGAATCAAATAATAACGTGCGTGTCGACATTACAATTGCTTTAGAAATATATTTCAAAAGTAATTTTCTAGAGCATAGCACCATAGTACGTACTGTCTTTATTGAATGAAGAAAATAACCTTGAAGTAATTCAAAAGATACGAAGCGGTTCATGTCTTGTTTTGAAGAAAAAAATGATCTTCTTGCTGTGAGGCAAATTGTATACTGTACATTATAAACAAATTGTGAGGTAGACGGATTAGACCAAATAAAAGCAAATTAGGCCTGTAGTGTTGGCCCCGCCCGACTGACCCAAAAGGTACGAAATTGAGATTAAAAAATGTTTAATTACGCATATATGAACTTATATATATTATATATAATATATATTATATGATGTACATATCCGCCTGAAGATTGTGGTTGGCCCTGCAAACCATAAGAAACAATGTTGTAGTGGAATTAAATAATATGAAATAATCGAGTTTTATATAGCATTAATTACTGCTAAATATATATATATATAACGTTTTGTTTTGTATGTATATGTATATATATCTCTTATACACATCTAGATGTGTATAAGAGACAGCTCTTGCACTATAAACTTACACAAAGTTTAACCGTCGAAATCTCATATTTTTTTTAATGTTTATAAATTTAAAAAAAAGAATCAAGACACCGTCTCCAAAAAGGCTTGACGAATAAAACAATAAATTCATCAGAACAACGGGGATGCCATAATAAGTACGTAGGTACTTCAGCTTTATAAATGTATAACCAATTTCCCCCGGGGTATTAAAAATTAACCTCCTGGGGTATCGACTAGAAGATCTCTATACAACATTACATAACTATTATTGTTTTTATTGTGTAAAATAAAATCGGCAATCAAACAGATAATATCTACATGATCAGTATTAAAACAAATAAAATAAGACAAATTACCATAGAGAAAATATAACTGTGTTCTATTTTCTATATGACCATAATATGTCAAAATGGTAAGACCAGCCTACCTTTCTCGTCTTCTGAAACTTCGGTAGACTTCAGTATTTTCTTGCCAATGTGATGATGAGTAGTACCAACGAAGAACAGGCATCTTGCTGTTTCTGGGTTTTCTTTTTTGAAAATACGCTGAATAATTCTTAAGCTTTTCTCTGCATCAGGTAATGCTTCACTGTAATCCTCCAATTCAAAGTGACAAAGCGCCCTGTTCTTTAAGATCTTTGCCGTCTGCTCGATTTCCAACCCAGGGAAACTATTGTGCTGCATTTCTAAGGCCTTATCAAACCACTCCAGAGCCTTATTATATTGTTGCTCTCCCTTTTCTGGTTCGTTTGCATCCATGTACCGATTACCCCAGCTTCTAAAGCAGGCGCCCAAGTTCATAACATACACAGAGGAATCCAAATGCACTTCAGGTTTGCCTTCTGTAATATTTTTAATCATTTCCCATGCCTGTTCGTGATAGCGTTGGGCGTCCCGAAGTTTCTTCTGAAGATAAAACACGTTACCGATTGCATTAAGAGTGCGAGCAGTCATCGTGTGATCTCCCTCGAGTTTCGTTCGTATATCCAACGACTTTTGAAGACTGTCCAGACTGTCATTGTACTCTCGCTGGTTAGCAAATGCTCGCCCTTTTACGTACAAACAGGCTGCCTTAGCTATCATTGCATTCTTATGATGTTTCTCGCTTGCGTTTAGTTTTTCCAACGTTGTCAACCCCTTGTCTACAATTTCGTGCACCTCCTCCAACTTAGCTTGGCTTATGTACTGTTCACCAAGCCATGCACATATTAAACTGTATGTGATCCCGTCTTTCTCCTTTTCAGCCTTAGCTAAAGCGTTCTTAAAATATTCTGATCTTCGATCTGCATCAACCAAATTCTCGATTATGAGATATCGTTTATCTTCTTTAGAAAAGTCCAATTCTTTAGCGGTTTGTTGTGACTGGATCTTTGCTGCATGCTCAATATATTGCATCAAATTGACTTTATCGTTCTGGTACATTTCAAGGCCTTCCCTAAAATTCACGTTTGCAACTTCAGAAATGTTATTTAACACCTGATGGTAGTGCTTAAGAAACGCTGCCATTGCCGTGTCTCTAAGTTTTCTGAGAGAGTCATCTTCTTTTGTTGCACCTGCACATGTCATTCTCACCAATGTATGTAAATTGTACTGGTTAAAATTACCTGCACCAGATGCAATGTTTACGAACTGGTCAAGCTTTTCGAATTCCAATACCCCGTAGATACAGAGATCCTGCAGATACAAACTAATCATACTTTCATCTTTATCAAGAATGACGGTTGCAACTTCCTCGTAAAAGAAACTTGGAAACACAGACAACTTGATTAAGTATTTCTTTGAATCTTTATCGAGTTGATTAAATAAAACACGAAGGCATCTGAGCACACTTTCTTGCTGCTCGATCTCCTGACCATCCTCTGTCATGTTCATTTGGTACCGACAATCAAGAATCCGACTATCTGGAACAGGTTTCTGCAGAATTTCCAGTAATTCCTTTGGTTTGATCTGCCCCTGTTTCAGACGGCTTGCCAATGCTCTGATTGCATGTGGGTTACGACCACACACAGACACCAAACTAGTGCATAATCCATCGTCTAGGCTAAGAATCCCAGAAGAGCGGCGTAGAAGTGACTCAGCATCTGATAACTCGAGTGGTTTTAGATCAAGTTGATGGAAGTTTTCACGTTCAATTAGGACGTCACTATCAATCTTGTACCTGGTAGTAATCAAAAACTTTATTCGCTGTTTACTTTCCTCAAGGAATTCACAAAGAAAGTTCGTAAAATCATCACGTGATGTACTTCTTGGCCTAAGAATGTCATCTGCGTTATCTAAATAGATAATGGTTTCTGAAAACACAAAAAATAAAAAAAGAGGATTTACACGGCATTTTACCAATGGTAGTCAGAGGCGGATCCAGAGATGTCCAAAAGGGGGGCCGAAGGAGGGGGGGCGAAATTTGGGCCGATCGAGACAACAATGTCTTAGGGGGTCCGGGGGCATGCCCCCGCGAAATTGTTGTGTTCTAGACGCCCGAAAATAACATTTGAGGCGTTGTGGGCTGTCATTTTTTTTCTTTTTCTTCTTTCTTTTTTTCTTTTTTTTTTATCTGCCAAAAGGGGGGGGGCGGGGGCCGGGGCTGGGCTGCCCCCACCCAAATCCACCCCTGGTAGTTTCTCTCCGCCAGGGAATGTAGGCATATGTGTCAAAATCCCCTGATTACTACCAGCAGCATTATTGAGTTCTCCCAAGAGAGATGAGTATGTATTGTGTATGTGTAGCAAATCGGTATTCAAAAAGTTGTTTTGTTGAATAATATTAAAGTATTCTATAAAGTTATTTCTAATTAAATAATTTTGGAAAAGCTGATGCAACGTTGTGTTAACGTTAATTTCTTACGTAACTTAACCACAACCTTTACAACGTTCATGAATGCTTTAATAACGTTTGTTTATGTTTGCTGGGTAGAACAATGAGGACAGTGATGATGTACTGTAGATTCTGGATGTTAAGAATACTGAAGATGATGGTTATGTGATGAATGATGTTGGTAGTGATTACGTCTATGATGGTGATGGTAATGAAAAAGACGCGATGGTTACCTGTAGTGGACGGCATCAAAAGTATCAATTACTGTTACAAATTTTTAATATTATTATTTTATTTAGATATTTTAATACCTGAATCTTGTGGTGGCATCTATTGCAATAAATCATCGATACTAAACGTGGTGGGCGATATTTCTTTAAAGCCAATTGCATTCATGATGGCTGCTCCAGCCTCGCCAAATGATGCCACATTCCTCAAATTCACAAGATAAGACCTAAAAATATATATATATATATATATATATATATATACAGATGTATATAGGCCTATATATGTTTATTTAAAAACATATTCAACAACAATCAAATAAATAACAAGGTCTCTTAAAATACTTTTTTATAAGCATATAGATAAAACATAGATACACACTTAAAAAAACGAGGTCACAAGTCACACAAAAAAGTCATCCCCAGAAACTTTATTTAGCGCCTGATGGTAGTGCTGTAGAAATGCTACCATTGTATTGCTGCAAAATTAATTTCGTTTATTTTATTCAGCAAATAAAATCACAAACCATTTTTAAATACAAAACAAAACAAAGAACATGTATGTGTATACAGTATAATGAAGAGCAGCCAACAGTTATTGATTCTTAGGGTAACCCAGAAAAGTTTTAAAATATTAAAAACTTATTTCCATTGGGGTCCAAATATCCACGTGGTATCCTTCGTATAATCAATATAAGACTGTAGCCTAATACTGAGACATGTGGCAGAACCGTAGCTTGCCACTATCTTCAATAGTACTTTTCTACTTGTGCATGTGGGAAAGCATGAGTTTGCTACTTGGGTCCTATGGGGAAAAAGTAGCTTGCTATTTGGAATAAAAATGGTAGCTACAAGTTCATGTTGAATTACAGTAGAAAACAGTGCCCTCGAGCATGCTACAAGTTGATGTGGAAAAGGTAGCATGCTAATAAGATGTGTGGAGGACATTTAGCTTTCAACTTGATCCTATGAAAAGAAAATTGACTGACTACCTGCTACCCAAATAGTAGCTTGTAACTGGTTTTAAAGTCAGAGGAACATAAATTGCTTCAGGAATTTTTAGGAGAAGTGTAGTTTGCTACAGATTCTTATAAGAGTACAGTAACTTGTTTCTGAATCTTATTGAAAAACTGTAGCTTGCTACTGGGTCATGTGAGTGAATCACTATAGAGCAACTTCATTTTATAACACAATAGCTAATGAAGAAAATAAAAACATTAAATATAGAGTGATTGGCTTTTTAGAGTACATTCACACACGGAAGCCTACCGAAACTACCAGAAATCGAATAAATATATGGATTAAATCTTAAATTTTCTTCGACAAAGAACTCTTGTATGTTCCTATATAGTTATGATGCGGCTATATGTGTTCATGACAATACATAGGCATGTCAAATGTCAAATGTTTGTAAAACAAAATTTGATAGTCTGGGCAGAACTTAAGAAAGGCCCCTTCGCTCAGCGCATCGAACACGCGGTCCTAATTTTGGTTTCGGATTCGATGTAAATGCAGCTTTACATTTATTTTTACCTATGTTACAAAAAAATATACAATACTAAATCTTACTTAACAACGCCACCATCCTTAAAATAGGGGGAGAAGATTGCACAAGTCTTGATGGATATCTTAGTTTTACCGATGCCAGGCGGACCAGCGAGAACCACGCAGCAACACCCACCTGCCGGTTCCACAAGTTCCACAAATGCCTTCATTATCCTCATCAGCTCATCGTCTCTTCCAACAAATAACGGGTCGCTTTTAACAGCCAGGAGATGTTCAAATTCTCTGTGCACCTTTCTCATACTCTTGTACTCTTGTATTTCATGTAGGCCGATATTGTGTTTAATATGTTGGCAAATCTGCTCCAGGAATGAAGTGTCGTCTTCCGTGATAATATTATAGTCTTCCAGTTTTTGAAACAGTTCAAGCGGTGTTTGTATTTTTTCTAATACTGGACTTCCTAACTTTTGTCTTGAGTAGAATTTGGCCTTTTCCAAATCTTTCTCTACCATGTCATTGTGCAGTTTAATAATTAATGATTTAAAAGGATTGATAATACTCTTCCAATCAAGCTCTTCCGAGGATTTTGATGCCATTATGAGAAGATGGCTTGTAGCCGAATGTCTACCTGAATGGAATTAACACATTGCTTATTAGATTTGTGAGCCTAAACATATAATTAGCATACCTCCATGTAAAACAGGTTATATTGTAAGAAAAAAGTTGGGTTTATAGCAGTGTATATATATATATGTATATATATAATATATATATATATATATATATATATATATACTATATATAGTTATGATGCATCGAAGTGATGGGTGCACGTATATCCTGATGAACATATAGTAGAATGATGACAAAAATTAATGACATAGGCGGTTACCGTTTTTCCAGGATATGTAAAAATTTATTTAATAACGAACATTTCGGGAGCGCCTGCTCTCTTCTTCAGCGTAATGCCTACTGAATCAATTAACATCAAATTGAACAATTAAAGTCAAATGGTAAACAAAAGATAAACAAAACGATTGGCACAATAGGCGGTCTGGCCAGTGCACAGAATGCGGCCTCTTTGACATAATAATTCGGACTGGATTATCTGTTAGCTAATTTGTTAATGAACGTATAGCCGGCCGCTCAAAATGCCAAGGTCTTTGTTTAGACCCAGTGTATGAGTGTAGAGTCTTAAAACCCAACGCATCTCATGACATTTTCTATCTTTGGTGGATTTATACCCATAGCCTATGATGATAAATTTCATGTTATTAATAGTGTGGTCTGGCAAGAGTTGAAATGTTGACTGACGGTAGAAGTCCTATTCTTGTTCCGTATAAAACTTTTATGGTTTTGGTTAATTCTAGATCTAATGGAGCATCCTGTTTCCCCTACATAATTACCATTATTACATTTATCACAGTAAATAAAATAAACAACATTAAGATGTACAATCTAATGGAGGAGAGCGTATTTGATGTGTAGTGCCCGGTACTGTAAATGGTGTGTCGGTGGTGATGATTTCGCAAAGTTGGCATCTCCTATCACCACAAGGTTTATTACCTTGATCCGGATGATGGTTAGGATACCGAAATCTGGATGATGTAAGGAGGGATTTAAGATTGGGAGGTTGTCGTTGGGCAAGAACAGTGGGGCTGTCAAAAATATGTTTAATAGAGGGGTCTGTCTTGAGGTTTTCATAATCGTGTTTTATGGTGTTGGTTAATGAAGGGATTGAAGGGTTATAATCAAATATTTTGGGTATACGATCGGAGGTGGACTTGTTATTGTAATTGAAGAGGTCGTAGCGGGATTTAGTGGAAGCTTCCCAGCGGGCATACAACGTTAATTGAACGTTGAAATGTAGTTGAAACGTTAAAATCATGTTGACAACATATACTTAACATTGAATCAATGTTAAAAATATGTTGCGGTTGATAATTTAATGTTAATTCAGCGTTGAATTAATGTTGACATTTGGTTGATAATTTAACAATTACAGTACCAACATGTTTTCAACATCTTTAAAACGTCAAGTTAAAATATAGTTTGCATTTCAATGTAGAATCAACGTTGAAAATGTGTTACGTTTTTCAATCAGAATCGTATTGTTTATTCAACATTTTTCTACGTTAAATAAACGTTGAAAATATGTTGAGATTTTAATGTTACAGTAACTACGTAAGTTCAACATCTTTTCAAAATATAGTTTGCATTTCAATGTAGAATCAACGTTGAAAATGTGTTACGTTTTTCAACCAAACTCCTATTGTTTTTTGAACGTTTTTTGAACGTTAGATACACGTTGCAAATATGCTGAGATTTTAAAGTTAGTGTATCAACATATGTTCAATGTTTTTTTCATTGTGAAGTTAAAATGTAGTTTTTTATACAACTTCATTTCAACATTGAATTCACTTTGAAATCTGGTTGAGATTTTAACATAACAATGTTTATTCAACATTTTTCCCATGTTAACTCTAAACATAATTTTTATTTCTAAGTAGAATCAACATTGAAAATGTGTTGTGTATTTATACAATGTATCCATTACTTACTTAATGTTATTTTAACAATAAATAAACGTTGAAAAATGGTTTAGATATTGAAATTACATTAACAACATTAGTTCAACATCTTTTTAATATAATGTTAAAATATAGTTTGTATTTTAGCATATAATCAACCTTTAAACTATGTTATGTTTTTCTGCCAAAAACCTATAGTTTATTCAACGTTTTTTCTACGTTAAAAATATGTTGATATTTTAATGTTACTGTGACAACGTTAAGTTCAACATTTTTACAACATCAAGTTAAATTATAGTTTGTATTTTAATGTAGAATCAACGTGGAAAAAGTGATATGTTTTTCAACCACAACCCTATTGTTTATTGAACATTTTTTAATGTTGAATAAACATTGCAAATATGTTGAGATTTTAAAGTTAAAGTATCAACATAAGTTTGTTTTTTTTTTTATAGTTTTTTATATAGTTTTTTACTCAACTTTATTTAAACATTGAATTCACTTTGATATCCGGTTGACATTTTAACATAACAATTGCAATCAAAATTTTTCCAACGCTAAATTTCAACATAGGCCTGCCTTTTTCAATGTTAATCATTGTTGAAAATGTATTGTGTCTACAAAGCACCCATTATTTACTCACCGTTGTTTCAACAATTGATAAATGTTGAAAACTGGTTGAGATATTAAAATCTTAGTAATAACATTAATTCAACATCTTTTCAATGTCAAGTTAAAATATAGTTTTTATTTTAACGTATAAGCAACATTTAAAATAAGTTGTGTTTTCAACTCAGAGTTTAAGATTTTACCAAACTTTATTTCAACAATTGATCTCATGATGATGTTTTAATAAAACGAAGACGAGAAAACAGAAATTACATAGGCCTACTTTGATTTTGGTAGGCAGTAGGCCATCCCAACTATCGACAAATAAAAGGCAAAATATGTTTAACACCCAATTTTTTCATCTTCACTTGGTAGAGCATTCTCACCTACCCTAAGCTTGCCTATTAACATTCTGTCTCTTATAACATGAACCGCTTCGTATCTTTTGAATTACTTCAAGGTTATTTTGTTATTTTCTTCATTTAGTACTGAAGATAGTCCGTACCATGGTGCTATGCTCTAGAAAATTACTTTTGAAGATATATTTCTAAAGCAATTCTATTGTGTAAATATACTTATTTAGTATACGTTTTATTGATGAAGTATATTTACGCAACGTCATTCAAATCATGTATGTCGTTGTGTAAATATAGCCTACTTCATCAATACGTTTTAGTGCAGATGATTGTTTTGTCGGCTTAAATACTTTTTAAAGTTTCTTAACAACTAGTTTCTTAAAATATGTACTTAACCGCAATCTACATCATTTCTGGTCCGCTTCACTGCCAGAGGGCTTTCCAAATCTTTTCCAACAGGTCATAGATGTGTATAAGAGACAGGTCATGAAACAGTTTAGTATTCTTTAAATTAATTCAAGGCTATTTCCTTCATTTAGGTATACATTTACGTAAGCTTTGTACCAGGGTACGATGCACTACAAATACTTTCGCAACATACCGTACTTTAGGGCCTGCATTTTGTGTAGGTGAATAAGTTGTTTGGAAGCGAAGTATGGCGGTTTGAAATGTTGGTGAATTTATAAACGTTTCTCGTAGAATGGCCTTCATAAAATTACTAAATTTTAAGGTTTAGAGTTGAAATATTGAACCCAAACTTCAAAAATAGTAAGATTAAAGGTAATACTTTATATTTATGCATTAATCACATTTTTCTCAAATTTCATATTATACTGTCTATTGGCCCTTTTTCTCGAAACCTGTTGATGCGAGTTTACAGCCCTTTTGTGGTCTTGGGTCACAATTATCATATCAACTCTAGCCCCACCATGGTTGGTAAACAACTTGTTTGGCGCCTATGAATGTCTGGAAACAGATGCTGGCAACCTACAGCCGCTTTCCCTTCCCCTCAAGGGGCAGCCACAATATATAAAGTTAGCATGGATGAAAAATATATTTAAATCTTTAAAAAAACAACAACAAAAAACATTCTATTATTGAAAGATGTGCTTTAAAGTTATTTTTCAAACTTATTTTGTTCTACATCCATTCATGTTTGGTGTTGTTCCTAATTATTTAGCAAAAAGTTAAATTGTTTTAGCTTAAGTCCATTATTAACCTAGGCAATTACCATACTCTACTACACAACATTTAATTTAATATTTTGCATATCAAAAGTAATAAAACTGAATGAACATGTGTTTTAAGGTAAGTGCCACTCCCTATAGAGAAATCTCTAATTGTACATGTTTGCAATATTATATTCCATAGTGAATATTTTTCAGTATTTGCATCATTATTGGTAATGCTTGCAGTACAGTATATCAATGTAGATTGGTCTGGGAAGAACAGTTGTTTCAACTATCTACATAGTATTCAAGTATTTACTATTTTAAAATTTACCATACAAACTTTAAAACAATATTTCAGTCTTCTTTGTTTCAAATATTTTTGTTTTGTTTTTATCTTTCACAAAGGTTCTTGGATATCTTGCTTCAATACCTCTGGTTGGACAAGAAAAGGCCTGGCTAAGGATAGTAGAGGGTCAAATAATTTATCACCAAGAAAGTTACTGATTTAAACCGAATCCTGTAACGCGAAAGATTCTTAATTATGCTAAGTGTGCAATATTAGGTCAGTTAAGTTATACCTCCATGGTTAAGACGACAGTAATGCATGATAGGTATATTTTGAAATCTACACATAGTAGCTGTTTTTATAATTATTAAACATGCCTGTATAGCTACGATACATAATATTTAATGTTTTTTGCAAGTTTCAATTAAAGAAAAATGGTCAAGTATATTTTAAACTCAGTGTATTTTGTAAGTTTAAAGGAATAAACATTGACATTGACTCAACATTAAAAATTTACATTGAATTAACATTGAACATATTACTTTGAATCGACGTTGAAATTTACGTTGATGAAAACTTTCATTCACAACCAAAATTCAAAGTTGATTCAACATTGATCATTTGATGTTATTATAACGTTAAACAATTGATGTTGAAACAACTTTAGACAATTTACGTTGAATCAACGTTGAAATTTACGTTGATGAAAACTTTCATATACAACCAAAATTCAACGTTGATTCAACATTGGTTATTTGACGTTGTTCCAAAGTTAAAAAATTAGCGTTGAAAAAACCTTAGACATTTTACGTTGAATCAACGTTGAGATTTACGTTGATGCAAACTTTCATATACAAACAACAAAAATTAAACGTAGATTCAATGTTTGCATATTACGTTGAATCAACGTTATTTCAACCAAGTTGTGCCCACTGGGT